GTAGCGATAATTGGAGTTAAGAGTGCAAAAGTTCGAGAACTTCAGAAAATATTTAATATTTAAATTATATTCCCCAATCCAGGTAATTAATAGTATTAATATGTTTGTTTTTTTGTATTTTGTCCGTTAATAAATAATATTTGGTTCAATATTTTAGTCGAGGCTAGAAATAATTTAGTTAAAATAAGAGGTTTGAACAATGATGTAAATAAAGCATTTAAATCATTAGTTGAATTGGCCAAAGTATTAGATGAAACCAATTATGTATTGGAAATTCCTATTTTTAAACAATTTCACAAACTTAGTGCTAAAAAAAGAGCAGTATTTATTAAAAATGTAATTATTATTTATTAACTTTTGTGATTCGACCTTTAGAAATATTGTTATTTATATAATTTAATATTCTGGATTAGAGAAGAGATTGATATGAGAATTTTTTTACTGCGCGAAGGGAACAATAGTGATGTTATTAAAGTCATGGGAAATAAAAGAAAAGTTTTAATCGCTTCTGATATGATTAAAGAAGTACAAAATGAAATAGTTGGTTTTTTATAAAGATTATTTATTTTTCAATTTATTATTAATTTATCAATCATGTATTTTTAGGGAGACATATTAACAAAGGAAATGATGTTGGGAAATGTTAAAGTTTGAAATGTCATTGTAAATCTTGGGAATAAATTTATTCAATCTATAAAACAAGATTATGATGGTAATGTGACATTGCATTTACCAACTGTTAAAGGAGATAATGTAAGAATATACTTATTTATTAAACTTATAAATTAAAATGACAATTAAACCAATTGTATAAGTTATTATATGTGTGATATACGCTCAGACATCGATTCGAACCTGGCCTCTGACAGTTTCTTTGAGCAGGGGACAATTGTCTCAAGAGAAGAAACTACTTCCCCTCCCCTAATACAATAAGTAAATTTTCAAGAAAATTTCCCAATTGCTAAAATCTATTAAAAAAATAGTAAACAGTTATTTTAAAGTTAAAATTTAATTTATAGACTATAGTTATCAAAAGACCTGAAGATTATGTTAAAAATGTTATTACAAAAATTCAGACAATGATTGATAATGGTACAATGTGTTCATTTATGATTTTATACTTGGATTCCAGAACAGATATTTAACGAACACAAGAATAATTTTCCCGCCTGAAACTGATTCCACTAATGAAAATATAACTATTTTTGGTAAAAAAAAGAATTTTAATAAAGCAAAAGCAAAATTTGAAGTTATGATAACCGATATTGGTAATGTTATCGAAGAACGTGTAGAAATAAATGAAAAATATCATGGCACTTTTGTGGTCAATCAAAAAGAATGTTTACACAAATTGAAAAAATAATTTGGCGATGTTAAAATTGAATTTCCTAAACTTGGTGCTGGAGATAGAGTTGTGATCAGTGATAGCAAAGCAGATGATGCTCTTGCTAAACAAAGACTTTTAGACCATGCTAAAGTTTTGTTATGTATAATTCAATACAAATGTACGTGTATTAAATTAACCTGTCTATTTTTATTGAAATTGTATTGAGGTTATATTTACATAATTGTTCATAGTTTTCTTTAAAATAATGAACTATTGATATATAAGTCATATAAAATTAAATAACTTAAGATAAAACAATTAAAATAATCATTAATGTATCTAAATACAACTAAATAAGTTAACCATATAATTATTAACAATTTTGAATTAAGAAAATACTCTTCGACATGTAGTAAATGTTGATCCAAAGTATCATAATTACTTTGTTGCAAGACGTGGTGAAATTATCAATCCAATTATTAATGATTGCAATGGAGTGTCTATAACATTTCCGAAAATACGAGTAGCTTCTAATAATAGTGCTGTCATCATAAAAGGTAATAAAATAAATGTGTAAGTGGCGAAACGTAAGATTGAAGAAATTGTTAAAGACTTGGTTAGTACTTACTATACAAATATTTTTATTTATAGTTATTGGAATTATTAAATTCATAAAAAAAACCTATAACTAACAGTTATTATATAAAAAATAGTTGAACGTTTATTACCTTTTAATTTATTTAAATGATAGATATACGAGAATCATAATATAATAATAATAATAATAATTATTATTATAATCTCGTAATACATTAAAATTGTATAGAAAAATATAATTGAAGTCACTATGAACGTTCCTCCGAAATATCATCATCATTTTGTTGCCCACCACGTTGAAGTAATAAACTAGATAAGTAGGAAACATAATGGAGTTACTGTTACATTTCCACAAGTTAATTCCAATTCTAGTAAAGTTTTGATTAAAGGCCACAAGGATTATGTTGAAAAAGTCAAAAATGAAATCGTTAATATTATTATTGACTTGGTAAGTTGTAACACTTATTGTTTTATCGTTAACTTATTAATCAATAATCGTGTTACACAGCGGCGTAGCAGTGGTGCAGTAGGTGCAACGCACCGAGGCCTTTGTGATTTGGGGCCCTCAATTCAAAAGAAAACGGATATGAACAAAAGAAGAAGCTTACGTTAGCTACAGCCAATTGTTTGTTATGATTTTTGGTAGAAATAAATAATGAAAACATTTTTTTTTCAAAATCTCATCAACGTCTTTTATTGTTAGATTAGTCAAAATAATTTAACTAATAAATTGAAATGTAATTTTAATGAAATAAAATATATTAAATACGATAAACTTTATATAAAAATTACTATATTAACAAACTTATTATTAATTGTTGATTATTTTTTTTTTAGTACCTATTTTTGGTTTGGCCCCTCCATTTTAAAATCCTAACTACGTTACGAAAAGATAATATTCTTTATTTCATAAAATGAACTAAACTATAGTCATAAATATTTTTATTCCATATAAATTGATGTAAAAAAATAGAGGATTATTAAAGAGTTCTAATAGTGTTTTTAAAAGACTTAAATACATTAGGAATTTGTTAATCGAACTGACCTGCTATTTTATTTATAATATATCTGGTTTATCTGTAAAAATAATAATCTTAGCGAAGAACGATTGTTATAATTTCAATATTCTACAAAGTATGACGTGTTCCAATAATTAATTTTACAAAATCATAGATTATTTTTAGTAATAAGTAAAAGTAATCTGTAAAAATATTTATAAATACAATTACATCATGTTGCTAAAGCAAAAATTTCAAATATTGTTAATAAACGACATAAATTAACCAAATTAGTTGTATTTTATAATTTGTGATAGGTTCTGTATGTTTTAATTTTTAAACTAATATGTTAAAAATGTTTATTTCGTGAAAAATACAGTATTTGTTTTTTTTCATCTTAATTATATTTAACTTTTATGTCTTCTCATTTATTTAAATTTTACTTATTGAAGAAATAGTAAGAATAGTGACCAGCAAGTATTTAAAATTTTTTTGCCGACCGAAAACGTGGTGGACGTATGATAAGAGCACTTTCGCCAGATTTCATCATTCTCGATGATAAATTCGGTGAGTAGTTTATCAAGTTAGTATAGAAGTCTGTGTATTAAAGTTACGTAATAATATTATTTTACCCGTTCACCGCCGAGCAACATACGATAATAGGTCGCCGTGTATTCTCTTAAAATAAAAATGCAATGGCGGATAGCGACAGGATTCTCAGGAAACGAGCAAGAACAACGAAAAATATCTCAGTTTTTTAAAAATGTGCAAAATATCTACAATTGTTTTGTGGATTGAGCCTTGTACGATTGGAAAAGTTGAATTTTTTTCAGAATCTATGTCAGATATCACTTTGAAAACACTCAATTCTACACGTTGGGTAGGTAGATACAGATAGATATGGCTGTATAGGTATACTATAAAGAAAGATTTAGTGATGTACTTAAAGCTTTGTCTTAAATAACTTTGATTAGTAAAAAAATAGGTAGTGATGTTGTACGCGATCAACCAAACTTATTTTCAAGTAGTGCGCAATCTACCCAAATCTACCAATAACAGTATTTTATATCCGTATTATTTTCATATTTATTATTATTATTAGTTCTGAAAGGAATATACAAATATTACACAAGTATTATTTTTATAAAATACCTTATACTAAAAATGTTATTTTCATGTCTGAAAGAAAATCGTCAAATATTGTATCTATGATACATATAAAAATATAACAAATTTTAGATTAACTGTTGTTGACATGATTCTTTGATTTTCCAAGCCTTGTTCTAGTTTTTAGAATTATTTATAAAATTATAAAAACTCAAAGGCCTTTTGTTGATTTACCGAATGAAATAGATACCTAATAGATTAATAAGTTTTAAATGGTATGAATATGGGAAATATTTTACACTCTGATAAAACGTCTGTGGATTTAGCACTCTTTTTAGCACTTTACATAATATCAGAGATGAAAAAAAATGATTTGCCAAAATATAAAGTATAACTTATGTAATAAAAAGACTTAGTATTTCAGGAAGGGGAAAATATAATTTTGGTGGTTTAAAACCCCTAATTATATGGTATGTACTAAAAAAAAAAAAGAGTTCCGATTCAGAAAATTTTCCATTTCAAGCACTGAATAGGGGCATTGCTTTACTGAACACGACATACAAAGTGTTGTCGTATTGCATTCTAGACAGAATAAAACCGATTTCTGATGGAATCTTGGGTGACTACCAAGGTGGATTCAGACCAAACAGGTCAACCATAGACCAAATCTTTATCATAAAACAGGTACAGTAAAACCTCCTGACCTATTACGACGTTTCTATTCTGAGATCGCATATCTGCGTTAAAATAACGCAACCACTGCTCCATTATCTCTGTTGTCATCCAGGCTTTTTTATTAAATTTCCATATGACAGGTAACGAAGAAATGTCCATGTTCTTAAAACACCGTGGTTTTTTAGACTTGCCAATTACCAATGGCTTCCTAATTTCTCCAGCCATACTACCACACATGAACACTGTTAAGCGATCCTTTGCTTTTTTCCCGCCAGAACAAGACTCACTTTTCTGTACTAGTGACTTAGTAGGAATACCTCTGAAAAAAAACCAGTTTCGTCAGCATTGTACACGTCTTTTGCTTCATACCCAGCAATGAGTCTTGATATTTTTTGCTTCCACTCCACCACAGTTTCTTGATTAACGTCATTAGCCTCACCACTAACTTGTTTCCAAACAATGTCATGCCTTTTTTTAAATTTTTCTAGCCAACCGTTCGAAGCCATGAATTCTTTGACAATCATTTTTTCAGCCAATTTCATAGCTTCTGTTTGTATAATTGGACCGGAAATTGGCAAATTTTTTGACCGAACGCTGACAAACCACTCATACAACTTTTGATCAATTTGTTCAAATGAGGGAGTTTTCACTCTTTTACTCTTTCCCGAGTAAAATAATGACAGATAAAGTTTAGATTATTAGTTACCAAACATATATATTATATACATACATATAGTTTATACTTATGTAAGTGTATGTAATTTGTCTTTAAATAATTCTATTTTCCGTTTAACAGAGGGTATTTTTACTAATTGGATTACGAACATTTTCCGTTTCCGTTTTGTAGAGGTTCCGTCTTAAAGAGTTCAATTTTATATATTATTTGAACCGGGACTATTGACATTTTCCGTTATAAGGAGGATTCCGTCTAACAGAGGGTCCGTTATAAAGAGGTTTTACTGTATTTCAAAAAATGTGGGAGTACGACAAAGGAGGTTTATACATTGTTTGTTGACTATGGGCTACATCGACCGAGCATATTCAATATATTAAGAGTTTAATTTTCCAAGAAAACTAACCAATCTTATTAAAGCTAACATGGTAAACTCTGAGATAAAAATTAAAATTGCAAGGTCTACATCTCAATCGTTTAAAGTAGCCACTGGTTTAAGACAAGAGAACGCACTCTCTCCGATTCTTTTTGACCTAATACTCGAAAAGGTAGTTAGAGAGATGAATATATCTGAAGGCCTAATATTAGGTCAGTCAAAGATAGGCCTGTTGGCATATGCAGACGATATTGCCATCATAGGAGAAAACATAGAGATAATAAAGAAACATTGTAAGAAACTAATGGATACTGCGAGTAAGGTCTCATAATAAACGACAAAAAAACGGATTAAATGAAAGTTAGCAGAAGGGATAGGATATATCAACGAGGAGAATGTGTGGAATTGGAAGGACATATATATTAAAGAGTACCAAAATTTAAATACTTAGGCGTTCTCTTAACTCAAGACAATGAGCTAAAGGTGGAGATCTCAAGAAGACTACAATTAGCAAACAAATGCTATTTTGGAGCTGAAACCCTGCTTAAATCTAGATCAATATCTATAAATTTAAGAATTAAAATGTATATGACTTTAATACGCCCCATTATCCTGTATGGCTCAGAAACATGGGCACTGAGAAAGACAGAGGAAGTAAGATTAGATACTTTTGAATGAAAAGTTTTAAGACGAATCTACAAACCATAGCTTGACCTACAAACCGGAGAATGGAGAACACGAACCTGTTAGGAGGAAAACCTGTTCCAAAAACCATGCTTATCAACAGAAGCCACAAAAAGAAGGTTAATGTGGGCTGGACACGCCTGGAGGAAAAAGGGCACAATGATAAAGGTAATTGAGGAGGAGCCGATGGGAAAAAGATCGCTTGGCAGGCCACGCCTTAGATGGGAAGATTGTGTGAAGAGAGACGTTGGAAGAGTGGATCCAGAAGCAAACTGGAGGGAATTAGCGGAAGACAGAGAGAGGTGGAGGAATATTAGTTGTATGGGATGGTTTTAAAGGCCGGAAAAATCTCAATAAAAAAAATAAATAAATAAAATAAAAATATTACCTCACATTTTAGTATAATAGCGTTAATAAAATATAGGTACTTGTACAATTTTTTTTTTTAATAGGCTACCTTGTTATTTTGGTAAATAAAAAAGTTAATTACGATTAACAAGTGCAACTCAGGATATTTTTACAGCAATAATGTATTTTTTGAGTATAATTTTGGTTATTTTTTACTACAATAATACAATTCTTTTAATACAACGTGTTTCAGAGTACAATTTTGTTGCTAAAATATTTAACAGTGTAATGTATACTATATTATATTATATTATAGTGAAATTATACAAACATAAATAATTTTGATAATTCAGAGAGAATAATCATGAACTGTTGGACGAGAAAAAATGTTTGAATAATAGTATTATAGTAGAAGCTAAAAACTTAACAAATAAATCAAATATAATTAAATACATCGAGGAAGACCCACCCTAAAATAAAGAACACGTACGTACTGATAACAATCATATTTTTTTGACTGTAACTGTAGGTATGCCATAAATAACACTAAACGTTTGACATCTTCATTGTTATTAAATTAATTGCACCCCAATAATAATTCATGTAAACTAAAAAAAAAATTAAAGCCGCGCAAACATGTGACAATTATCAGTTGTGAACAGGCTGTTCTGCGGTGGGGAGTGTAGACAATCAGTTGTGTACTCTCAGTGGAGAAGCTGTTGTCCAATTGTGTTCCCTTTGTGTACACTGTACCAAACAGTGTGACCTTGATTGGCTCCCCAGTGTTCTATCAGTTTTTTCAATTTTTTTTTATTATTGATATTTTTCGATTGACGGATTTTCGTCGACGTCATTTACCTTCTACTGATTATAATTTCGCTAAACGTTTTTTGTCCGCTACACAGAAATACGATCTGATTACTTGAATATTCTTACGGTTTTTTTTATATACGCTGTTGTTGTATTGAACGTTTCGTGTGAGTTTCAACGGTTTATAGACGAGCGGCGTCAAGTCCAACAGCTCGTATTTTTTTTTCATATTAGTTTTACTTTCTGCGTGTGTAAACGCAATGGATGAAGAATACGACTGCATTGTGCTAGGCACTGGTCTCAAAGAATGCATTCTGTCCGGCATGTTGTCCGTCTCGGGTAAGAAGGTGCTACACGTCGATCGCAACAAGTACTATGGTGGCGAGTCCGCATCGATCACACCTTTGCAGGAGCTATTCCAGAAGTTCGGGGTGAAAGAACCTGATGAAAAAGAATATGGACGTGGACGTGACTGGAATGTCGATTTGGTGCCTAAGTTCCTTATGGCCAACGGTCTACTGGTAAAATTACTCATACATACGGGCGTGACGCGCTACCTGGAGTTCAAGTCAGTTGAAGGTAGCTATGTGTATAAAGGCGGTAAAATCTATAAGGTGCCGGTCGACCAGAAAGAAGCGCTGTCATCTGATCTGATGGGCATCTTTGAGAAAAGAAGATTCAGAAATTTCCTAATATTTGTACAAGACTTCCAAGAAGACGATCCAAAAACATGGAAGGATGTTGACCCACAGCGTATGTCTGCTTATCAATTGTACACCAAGTTTGGGTTGGACAAAAATACTCAAGATTTCACTGGTCATGCTTTGGCTCTCTATTTGAATGATGACTACATTAATGAGCCAGCTGCCAACTTGATTAGGCGAATTAAACTGTACAGTGATTCATTGGCTCGTTACGGTAAAAGCCCATATCTGTACCCTTTGTATGGACTTGGAGAATTACCTCAAGGATTTGCTCGTCTCAGTGCTATTTATGGTGGTACATATATGTTGAACACTCCTGTGGATGAAATTGTTTTTGAGGGATCAAGTGTTATTGGAATTAAAAGTGGTGGTGTTGTTGCTAAATGTAAACAAGTATTCTGTGACCCATCCTATGTTAAAGATCGCGTTAAAAAAACTGGACAAGTTATTCGTTGCATATGCTTATTGAATCATCCAATACCAAATACCCGTGACGCACTATCAACTCAGATAATTATACCTCAGAATCAAGTCAATCGTAAGTCAGACATATATGTTTCATTAGTAAGTAACACACATCAAGTATCTTCTCAAGGATGGTTTATCGCTATGGTGTCAACAAAAGTTGAAACAAACAACCCAGAATTGGAGATTAAGCCAGGTTTGGATTTGTTAGGATCTATCAAACAAAAATTTGTGTCCTTTTCTGATTATTATGAACCTATCGATGATGGAAAAGATAGTAAAGTATTTATTTCAAAATCATATGATGCAACATCACATTTTGAAACTACATGTTTGGATGTATTGGACATTTACAAACGAGCAACTGGAGAAGAGTTTGATTTTTCTAAAATTAAATTAGAAAGTGAAGAAATGTAAAAATTTTTTTACGTGCATTCTTATCATAATTTCTTAATGAGAAATTGTTTCCATTTCATATTATATCATAATAATTTAATAGCCAAATATTGGTATATCTACAATTTTTTTGTTATTGAAAATATTGCAGTCAAATTATACATTTTCAATGGGTGAAGTAGCTGGTGCCTCCTAATACCTTAATTTAAGAATATCATAGTAGAAATATCTTATTAATTAAAATAAAATTTTTAATAATACCCTAGATAAACTTAGAAACATTAAACATAAGATATACACATTTTTGTAATTATTATTTTATTTTTATTCTTTTATTCTTTTTTTTTTTGTAAAAAAAAAAAATGTTTTATTTTAAGTTGTACCTGTTTTTTTAAGTCATTTTTACATTTATTGGCGTAACACGTAATAATGTTTACGGGTGATTTTCTTTATGCATAAAAAGTTCTGTGTGGGCAGTATGAAATTTTAATAAACCTACATACAATTTAAATTATGCTTATTCTGTATGCCTACGAATCTTATAAGTTGTATAAAGGTTGCTTTAATAACTCAAAATTATCATTCCATTTAATGATAATTTAAAACATTAAAAATATATAATTTTTTTTTTTTTTTTTTGAATAAATATGCTAGTTTCAAAATGCTATTTATTGATATTTAAAGCACTTATTAAATAGAATGGTAATTTCGAATGATTAACATTTATATAACTAGTATAAATAAGGCACTATAATAGTATATATAGTGTCTTAGTATAATTATTACATAAAATAAATCTTAAATTCTAGTCTATTAGTTAATACAAAATCTTGAAATGGTTATGTTAATATTCACCAGTACATTCATATTGATGAATGATATTTTGATTAGTTTTTCATTCAAATAACATGATTAAAATATTGCCCTTAATATTAGGTAAATCTTTTATGAATAAAGTTATGAAATAAAATAGTAATAATAAATAGAATAAAATAAAGAAAAATATTTTTTATCCCAAATTATTTTACTTAAAAAGTCGATACGTATATATATATATATATATATATTTAATATTTAATAATGCACATTAATATAAAAATTTTTATAATTCAATGAATTTATCTTAGAATTTTAAAAATGTATATATTAATTAAACCTTAAAAATATACATGTTAAATTAATACTTTTTTTTCTAGTTTTGTACAGTTAAAATAAGTATTTGAATGTAAAACAGAAACATATATTACTTGTGTGACATTTGTCATTATCTTAGGAATCATTTAAATAGTGAAAAAGTACATTAAAATGTACCAGTTCATATTATAAATATAATTTGTGGAATTGATTGCTAATCAACTTCTTAGAAATATGTGTTGATAACTTTTATAATCTCATGTCAATGTTATTAAAATATTTTCCTTTCTGTCTAAACAATGATTTTCAGTGATAATTATTTTTATTTAAACAAATCAATATATTATTTATATACAAACAAATTAAAAAAATTGTATAAATTGTAAATACAATAAAATATCCCAGTTTCAAATAACAATATTTTGACCATAGGCAATTTTATATGACATAAAGAAGCCTAATTCATTGGTTTAGCCTAAGTTTTTTTTAAAATTGATAGCGAGGTCTTTCACAATATGTGTGATTTCTTCTAATTTAGATTTAATATTTTCTTTTTCATCAAAATCTTCAGTTTTTAAAAGCTGTACGACAAGGTCTAAAACAAATTAGAAATCACTATAGGTAATTTGCAATATTAAATAACCTATCATGAATCATACCATAGTAATTTTGTAGAACAGAAAAATCTTGTTCATTTAAATGTTTCTGTAAAAATCCTAGAAGGATCGATACAAATTTACCCGATACTTTAATCATTGTCTGTGTAATTGATTGAAAAAGTATTTGTGTGACAATCAACAGTACTTGTGCAGCATCATTTTCAGTATTTGATAAAGAGTTCAAAAGTATTTGACGGTTATTTTGTAAATGTTCCCTAGAAAATAATAAATTATTATTAATTAAAATGATTATCTTACAAATAATTATACATATACTCGATTCACATTTATAGTAAAATAAAAAGGGAAGTACCTTTCTTTCTTACGATCATGCTTTTTTTGTACTACATCAACAGAAGACAATAATTGATCAACAGCTTCATAAAAATCATCAATCCTTTTAGATGTCAATGATTTCTGTAGTTTTTCAATTGCATCTTCAATTTGTTTATCGTATTGATTAGTCTTGGACTAAAATATATATTCTTGTGCATTAAAATTGTTTATTCTAAAATAATATATAGTAGAATGTACCTCTGAATTATGTTCTTTATTTTGTGCTACATAATACTTAACACTTTCTACTATTTCACCACCAACAGATTTCAATAAAAATGTTGTAAGCTGTATTTGAATGTCAGTATTATCAAATTTCTGAACACCTTTAATATATAGATGAAAATCAGACAAAAGCAATAAGAGTTTGTCTCTAAAATCTTGATGCACTTTACGTCTGTCACCTATTCGATTTGCTATTACTTGATCATACATTTCTTGTGTTCGTCTTAGAGCTTCTTTATTTAAAATTCTAAAATTATATTATAAATATATATATATATTAAAAAATTGAATTGCTCAATGCTTTCATATAATAATAAGTATTACGGATAAAGGTATGAAACAATTTTTTCTGTCAATGAACTTTTATCTTCATAAACGTCTTTAAATGTTTCTTCGATTTTTAAATTATCTCTTATCTCATCAGAAGTAACAATCTCTATTATAAATTGTTCACTAGCAATTGTTTTATTCTCCTGTTCATCGGAGTCAGAATCATGTTGTTTAGATTTTTGTCCATACTTCTTCTTGACTGTCTTTATCTTTGTTTCTCGACCCTAAAATTGATTTTTATGTCACATTTTAAGACAATCAGAACTACTTTTAATCAATACATTTAAATTTAATACATAAATATTTTTAAACATTTAAACAGAAATATTATTTATATTACATAAATATTCATAATTAAATACCTGTGTTCCTCCTCCATGTTTTCCACCAGTTTTTTTCTTGCGTTCCTCTTTGCGACTAAGTTCAGGATTTTTATCTTCTACAAGTTTTTGTTGAATTTTCCAACTTATCAAAGCATTTGCATATTCTCCAGATTTAATAATCTAAACTCAATTAAATTTCAACATTTAAAATTAATTAAAATGTTAACAATTACATTTAGATTATACCCTTTTGACTTTAGCGTCTAATGTATTAATAATACGTTCAGATTGTATTTCTATAAACTTATCAGTCACTAATACAGTATCATCAAAAATTTGGAAACCTTTTGAAATTTTAGTTTTCTTCAATAAATATTCTAAAACCAGCTTTCCATCTTTTGGATCAAAAACTATTGGAAGAAAATCCTAAAAATCATACAATTGTTCTTTAATTTAAATGTTAAAATATCTAAGTGGTAAAAAAAAATGTTCATAATGAACCTAACCATTATATCAATCCAAGTTCCACTAGCAATAGATTCCTCAATAGCAGCAGAAACATCAACCAATATTTTAGATCCAATGGAGCATGTGGATAGTGCAATTAATTCTTTACCAAGTTGCATACGTGATATATAAGAAATAGGATCAGTTATACCAACACTATTCATTGCTTCATAATCTATAAGTTAAAAGAATTTTATTAAATAAAGTAAAAGTTGTTAGAATATATTATATAAAATAGTAATATACCTAAATAATTATTGTTGGAGTAAAAATTCATAACCCAATTGTTTAGAGCTTTGGTATATATATTTGGAACATAAGTACATGCATTTCCAATTCGATCAGTCAATGTACCAGGGATTTGTTTTTCTGCCAACAAACTTTCAAATACACCTGAAATATATTAATTAAGTCTTTTCAATAATCGTTTTTCCATCAAACATTAAATATTAATGAGTCTTAATAAGGTAATCTATATCTTTTCAGATTATATTTTTTAGTTTTTTCATCCAATGTATCTAATGACTAATGATTAATAATATTATCTTTGATGTAATATTATAGATATTAGTTAATTGGATATTTATTTTTAAAATTTAAGAACTATATTTAAATTTGTATTAATATTTAAAACTGATCAGTGCGAAGTTAAATTTATAGACCACCTTCAAAAATTATAGTTAAATTTATAGATTATTATGAAAATTATGATTAATAATGCTTACTGAAAAATTCTTTTTCTTCAATAGAACACTGATTAATTATTGCTGTACATAAAACAGGACGGGTTATAGCTAGAAGTGCTCCTCTGACAATTCTTTTAATAGAATTAAAATAGGAATCTGTATAATACAAGTATGGGTTATTTTTATTTTTGTGCAAATTAAAAGTCAAATTTTGATTTCGTTTTTCAAGCATCTAAATTATATATACATTTTTTATAAATTATTAATTATTATAATATATTCAAGAATAAATTAAAATATTTTAATTATACCGAATCAATAATATTCACAGGTAAATCAAACTGTTGAGATATTTTTAATGAATTTATATGACCATTCTGTTCTAATTTATCAAGGACATCCTCAGCAATTTGATCTAAATAAGTTGATCCAATTAATTGTCCATGAACAATACAATAATCATCATGTTCATCCTTGGTTAATTTTTCACACACACTGGTTGCAACATCTGGATCAACTTTTAAAGCTCTAGCAGCATCTAATATATTTATACGACCTAAAAATTCAATAATTTTACTATTTAATATTTTATTGTAGTACTATGAAAAAAACTGAAAAAAAATTTTTTTTTTAATAATATAAATAATCTAAAACCCCTTTAAATAGATGATTTCACAATAATTAATGGTTTATTAAAAATATTAATTAATCTTATATACCTCCTTGAATATATGCTTCATCTTTTAACTCCTTAGTCAAATGAGTTGGTGTTACATATTCTTTACCATCAGTTGTGAATACAACGTCAAGTAGCTTACTACTGATTAATTTTGCTACTATTTCCACACAGTTCCTTTCCCCTAATCTTAAAAGCAAAACAAATCAATAGTGTGTTTAATATATAAAAAGTACTCTTCTGATTGTAAATAGAAACTACCTTTGTGATGAAGTTGTCAACTGAATGCGTTGGAAGTCGGCAGCCAATAGTTTAACTTCATCCCAATCACTAGACGACATGTTGAATTGTGAAGGACTTAAGTTTTCAGTAACTAGTTATATATAAATAATGTTGTGGTGTTGCGTTAATCAAATTTTATTATCGATCGGTAAATAGCAAAATGTTTAAAATTATAACGTTTTTATAGTTGATATAGCCTTGTAACCAGAGTACTATCGGTCTAGGGTGCCTGGACTTAGGATGCCACGGTAAACATTTACTGCCACGACATTGATAATATTCTTGACTGACAACTTCTTCGGAATGATAAAGTTCGACTGATAATACAATATTCACATTATGCAACAATCCAAAAATCACGATTATATCTATAATCGTGCCATATACCTAATTCTATATATTATATTAGCATAAGGTCTATGAATCGTGCCTAAAATAGAAGATATTATTACAAATCAAAGTGGACACTCTTAGTTTTGGCTGATAATGAGCTAAATGGCTCTTACTGTTAGTATAACACTGCTAATCACTGCTACGTATAAAAAAAATTACTCTGTTTTTACGTTATATACGGTCATACTGTCCAAAAAAATGTTCATATTCTTATCCATCCATATCCGTCTATCTAACAGTATGTTCATGTCTTTATCCATTCATGTTTTATCTCATAGATTAGTATATTTATTATTATTACTATATATATTAGTTTAATCTATTTTGTGGTTGTAGCCGGTGATCAGTGCACATGTTGTACAATTCTACTTAAGTTGTTTAAAAATTTTGTTTTAATTATTACGTTTAAAAATCAAAGTGTCAAAATTATTGTTTTTCCACGAATGTTTAATTTATAGTCTCACATACGGATCATTGAGAACTTAAATATCGAATCAGGTAAATTTTGGAGAATAATTAATTAACTTATTTGTTATATTGCATGTAATTTTAAATTGCACATTACTGCCCTAAACTGCCTAAGGATTTAAATTGAATGACATTTTACAAAAAAAAAAAAAAAAAATTAAATAAAATTTTAATTTATAAAATTTTTTTTTACATTTCTGAAATCAAGTATCAATTTATCATATAGTTTTATTTTATTAAATAGCTTTCACGATGTTAAAATTAACATTAATAAAAATGTCATGACCCATGGTTAATATCCATAGGGCTCATTATTTGTAAAACCTTGATTATGCAAATTATGTGTATCTTATATTAGTAGTTGTCAAATTATTAATCTTGTTGCGTTAATATAACAGTTCAACCAAAGGATATGTATTAGGATATTTCCAATAATAACTCAATTGAAGTTAAACTTTTATTCATTGTTAATATTCTAAGTACAAAACATTTAATTAATTTCAGACAAGTATACTGGCGTGAAGGTGCCTACTAAGATCGGACTGTAACACATTTATATATTGGCCTATTCGGTACTCTCTTTTCCTAAGAACTAGTTTTGGCCATTTGGATATTTTTTAAGTTCTTGTCTTTCTACTTATTGTTTCCCTAAGTTGTTTACCTCGTAAATTCAGAGAATCACGTAACTTGTATTTACGTATTTTGTTATTAGTTTTATTATATCGTTTCCCGGCAATAAATCTCCTATGTGAAAAATGACCAAATTGAGGTTTTGGCATTACTAAATTAAAAAAAAAAAAAATATCTTGAATATGAATAAAACTCCTTTGTGCTATCTTATTTCCATGTTTAAGGAAATATAAATTAAATAATCTCCCTTGTGTAGGGTTAACCATAAACGATTCTGGAATACCTCCAATTCAAATACTTAAATGTTATTATTATTGCTCCTATGTATATGAAGTTTTGTACTTGTTTTATCCTACAATCTTTCAGTTATTGCAACCGTACTACTTGTGCTTATATATATATTATATAAAGAGTTGTTCTGATATTCTTAATACTTTATGTGAAATATGGTCCCCCCATATAATGGTACTTGTAAGGATCTACATTTATGTATGTCCGTAACAATTTATTCAAATTTCATTTTACTAATTTATATTACTTACACCTTGATTATTTTTTACAGTTTTTGAGTAAGGGTTAAGTGGTTATTTTTATTATGTTTATATATAATTAATATAATCAAAACTGGCTTCCTAATTAGGCCAAAATAGGTTTTAGAAAACAATGAGAATCATACATATTAAATTTGGAATTTTGCCTTTCATGCTTATATATCATTAAAAATTATTTTAAAATCTAATAAATGGATAAAATGTATGTATTTCCAGGCTGATTTACTAAAAAAAAGATTTATTAGAAGGCTTTAGAAAAAAAAAAAAAAATTATTATTTTTGTGAATACTTTTATAAGAAAACTTTTGTAAAAGCATTTTATATTATTTCTTTTATATATATTAAAATCAATCATTGATAAATGTATATATATAGTCTCAATATTATTTTTGGAATCATATATTAATATTATTTGTTTTTAAATAGATTGTAAAGAAATATGGCAACAGAATATGATGAAGTTAAAATTAATATACGGAGCTTGTTAACCAGCTCACAAAAACCTCTAAGTATTCAGGAGGTCCAAAAAGATTACTATGAACAAGAGGGAAAGTATATACCTTATAAAAATTTAGGTTTTAATTCAATTATTGAATTACTTCAAAATATGAATGATGTACTTGTTGTATGTATAAAGTAAAATTTGATTATTTTTAATATTTATTATTTAAAATTTTCTTCTTTATTTAATGTAGTGAACGAGATTTAATTTATTTATGTGTTATTTTTAAATTTTTAGGTACCTCCAAATCCAAATTCAAATTCTATGTTATCTCTTGTTGTAGATGAAAAAACTAATCATTTAAGAATGCTTATTGATAAACAAAAATCAAATTTTAAAAAAAAAAAAGGAAAATCAAACCTAAATAGACCTTATGAAAATGCATGTGGAAATAATTCATTTGGTGGTGTTATGAAGTATGCACATAAAAGTGAAAATGATTTGCATAAAAAACAATTTAATTCTTTCAATAATTTTAGAAATAATAATTATAAGAGGAATAAGTTTCAAAATACTAAGAGTTACAATTATAGATCTTCTTCACTATCTCCAAAAAATAGTCAAAGAAACTGTGTATCTTTGTCAAACAGTAGTATAAGTTCCAATTTAGATAGAAATTACTCTAGCCAAAATGGATTTAGCAGTATTGGTTATGTAACAGATAAATTACGATGCGATTTAGAAAGATACATATCTGAAAATGGAATGGTAACTGTTTGTATTGAATTACATTGATTTATGCTTGCTTTATAGTAGTGGTTTTCAAACAATATATTTAGGGCACTGAAAGTTCATTCCAGGCCTTTGAAAACATAAAAATAAAATTATATACAATTTATTATAATTATTTTTTGTATTATATAATTTGATCAACTAATTAACCTCCAATTATATATTCCTAGTCGGTTTCTTATATCATGTAAATGCAATTAATATTTTACTCACGGTTTTCCGAAATGTATTTCTGTTATTATCATATCTTTAATAGACTATATTTATTGCCAATTAATATTAAATCTTAATATTATGAATTCCCAAAATATACTATAATAATTGGTATGATACTACTTTGTGATATTCATACAACACTATTGTGATTAAATTAAGTCCACAAAAAGGCACCAATTAAAAAGTATGGAAACCACTGCTATAGAAGAACATCAATATTATATTATTATTTTATTCAATGTCCTATTTTTATACGTATTATTTTATTTAATGTTTTATTAAATTTTTGAATGGATTTTAAAGTTTTTTAGTATTAATTAATTGGAGTGATTTGAAAAATGTGTTTCAGATTATACCATTCAATAAGTTAAAAGAGTTGATAGTAAATCATCCAAACTTTTCATATTTAAAAGCAACATGTATACAAGATGTAATTGATTTAGTTCAAGATTTTCTTAGTATAAATGAAAAAGGAGTTTCGTTGAAACATATTAGTAACACGAAAACTAAAAATAATATCCCCTTAATCTATCAAATTTCAGGTACTTGAACTTACTTAATATTTACCTGAATAGTTGCAGAAACAAAATTACCTGATCTTAAATTTTAGTAGTATTTTAAAATGTATTTAAAAATGCAATTATAATAATATAAATTATAATAAATTCAATACTGATGATGGCATGGTCATCTGTGTTTGATGGTTTTTTAATGTTTTTTATAATTCATTTTTAGAGGCTAGAGTCTGGGTATTATAATTATAGCTGCTGAATTTTAATTTGATCTTACCACAATTTTTAAGTTCATTTCCACTATATCACATAAATTAATATATTTTTAATTTCATATTTTTACATTGAATTTTATGAGTTAAATTAAACTATCAACATTTCTATCAATTTCGTTATAAAAAATATATTTATTTTATTCCTTGGTCTTTGTGATATCACTAAAAATTTTATAAGGCCCTTGCAATTTTAAGTTTGAATACTATTAATGGCTACATTCTTTCTTATAAGTTTGATTTATTTTTAATAACAAGTATTTTTATTATCATTTTTGAAATAGCAATCTGAAATTATACATTACTGTAATGTAAAGTTGTGAATTAAAATTTATGAGACTTTTTCATGATGTTAAATTAATAGTTTAAAATTGTGTATGTTAATAGTATTTTATCAAATTATGAAAAAATGTAAACATATAGTAAAAATCTTATACATATTTAAATTGTATTAATTTACATTAACTTACAGATAAACTTACAAACACAGTAACAAATACATCAAACTCATTTAAAAATTATCAACAAAATAATTTATTATCTAGTTCATTGATTGTAAATAACAGTTCCAATAACAATGATAAAATTGTTAATTCAAAATCATGTGATTATGAGTGTGATGATAAAGTTGTTGTGTCTAATTTGATTGAAAGTTTAAAAAAAAATGAACATGGAGTACAAGATTCTTTCAAAAATAATTTGAAAAATGTTTCTCAAAACAATGAAGTTGCTAATAAAATGTTTGGGTCTGCTGAATTTATAGAAAAATGTGCAGAGCAAAAAATGATTAGAAAACTTCAGGATGAAAATAGTATTTATAATAGAGAAAATTTAATAAAAAATATTGAATTTGTAAAAAGACAAACAGGAATGAGACAAAATCAAAAATCTGAAAGTAGAAATTTAAATGTATCTAGTTCTTCAAATTATGTAAGTATTTTTTAAACATATATTATATTAATTATTAAAACCACATTAGTATGTAGATTTAAGACAATGGATTTATTTATATTTTATAAAATTATAAATCAACTTAAATTATTTTATGATAAAATACAAGTTCATTTAATTATATTCTTACGTATTGGTGTTATCAAATGTTACTTAAATGTTGAACAATGAAAAATTCTTAATGTTGTTTATTCATTTATTCAAAAATAAATATTTTGAATTCTTGTTTGAATAAATATTAAAAGAATACTTTATAACATTAACTTTTTTTAAAAGTTGAATTTGTATCTATTTTACATATTTTCCTATTTAATTTTCTATTTCTAAATAACATAATAAATATAACTATTATTTACATATGTTTTCAATTATTAAACTAAAAACTAAATGTTGCTGTCCAAATGTATAATGCCATATAGTTGATGTTCCTGTTCTGGATATTTACATACTAATAATTTTCTGTTATAAACAAATATTTACTTGAATTTTTATTCCTCAAAATAATTAGATAAAATTAAAATTGAAATGATTGATTAATTATAAATTGTTTATGATTTAATTATTATTAGAAACATTAAGTTTAGGTTATGATATTTTTTGAGAGTATTTACCAATGATTTTTTTTATAGCTATAAATTACTATAAAATATTTTCAGCTGAATAACACAAATTCTTTGGAAAATTTAGAAACATCATTTTCTTATTCTATTCAAAATAAAAATAGTGATGTTAAAAGTGGTAAGTAAAAAATATTTTATTAATTGTACATCAGCGGTTCTTAAGCTTTTGTAGATTACGGACCCTTAATGAAAAATGTTAAGAGGACGTCCACCCTCATATGTTGTCTCTATCTTATGAGCATTTTCAAATATTAATATTTTTCATACTCATAACTCACTTAAAAATTAAAATATCATAAAAAACCAATGAGAGAACGTAGATAATGTTCTTATCTATAAGTTTGATAATAAGTCATTCACTCTGATATCAAAACTAAAAGTACACCATTGAAACTGGTGAACGAAAATTTACCATGTCGCACGTGTGTAAGACGGAGACAACACACGCAGAAGCGATGTCCTCTTAAGAAATTGCTAACTCCCTTACCAATTTTTTTTTCCAATAAATTTTTTTTTTCAAAACATCTTATTATATTAAAACCAAAATTATAATAATTATTTAATTTTATAAATTACATTAGTAGACATAAAAAAATATACATGCTTACAATTAATTTTATTACACTTAATTTTTTAATTAATTTAAATTGAATTATTTTAGTTTTCATTTTTTTTTTTTTAATAATCTTAATATTTAATTTTGATTAACTTAATGCAATACTTGGTGTTATACTTGAGGCACAAGTTTTTGAATATCGTATAAAAATAAGATCTATCTATTAAATAATAAACAAACATATGAAAAAAAAAATAATAATCCAACAATATTGTAATAATGCACTCATGTCACATATTGACATATGTTGTGTTGAGGTTGCCACAGACTCCCGACATGAGTATCACGAACCCTTAGAGGGCTATAGATCATAGGTTATGAACCACTGTTATACATAATAAATATCGAACAGAGTTTTTATAACATTTTTATTTTAAATGAAATAAAAATTATTATAATTTGAATTGTAATTATTATTTACAAATGTAATATTAAGTGTAAAGATTACCATTTTTAGTTAAAATATTAGTTGTTTGTAATTATATTACTATTCTATCTTCTTCTTCTTCTTCTTCTTCTTCTTTTCCTTCTCAGGTTAATTAAATTTTCTCAACTATTTGAGGTCGGCCACCTGTGTCCTGAACCACCACTCGTTTTGATTTTCTACATCCCCCTACATTATTTTCAATTGTATCTAACTATTTCATTTTTGATCTTCCTCTTCCTCTTTTCAGCTTTTCCTTCAGCTTCATTTTCATAACAACTTTTACTGCATTTGTTTCCTCTCATCACATGCCCAAACCATCTCAGTCTATTTACTCTCATATTTTCCACAATAGACGCTTCAAAAATATTACCTCTCACATATTTATTATTCCTTATTCTATATTCTCTTGACACTACTCATCCATCTAAACATTCTCATTTCCACAACACTTATACTTTGTTCTATTCTCTTGTTAACCGCCCAATACTTTGAACCATATAGCATAGTCTCACTACATTTCTGTAAAATTTACCTTTCAGCCTCATAGGAATTTCCTTATCACATAAAATTCCCTGATGCTTTTCTCCATTTTATCTAACTATACTTAATCCTATGTTTTACATTCATGTCAAAACCCCTGTCCTTTTGTACAGGGGTCTTTTGATCCTAATTATTTAAAGTTCTTGACTTCACCTATCATATCACCTCTTATTGTCATTGGTCTCCTCATACTTTCTAATTTTTGGTATCTTCCCCTCAAGTCATATTCTATATACCCTGTTTTATTTCTACTACCTAATACTCAATCCCTTTCCTTCAAGAGCTAATCTCCTCTCATTCAACTTATGATTAACTTCTTCCAGATTTTCTCCTACCAAAACTATTATATAATCAGCAAACATCATTCACTATGGTACCTCGCCCTTTATCATCCATTACCACAGGAGAACAAATAAGGGCTTAAAGTCAACCCATACATTAAAATCTTCTGTTATTCCACACAAAATCTTTACACTAGTTCTTGAACCTTCATACATATCTTGAATCAAATCTATATATATTTTTGGGATACCTTTTCTCATTAATGTTCACTTTAAAACTTCTCTTGGCACTCTATTATATACCTTTTCTAAATCTATAAACACCATGCATATTTTTTCTTCTTTTCCCTAAACTTCTTTACTAGTTGTGTAACACAAAAAAATGGCTCCATTGTTGATTTTCCTGGTATAAAACCAAACTGATTTTTCATTATTGATGTCTCACCTTTTCTCTTCTCTATAGTATTATTTTATTATACTACTATTTTATAAATTTTAAAAATCTTGTTATTTATAATCATACTATATATAATATTTACATTTAATAAATTATGTGTAGGTAATATATTTTTGTTTTTGTATTTCTTTCATATTTTTATTTGAATAATTGTTCATTTATACAAAAAATAATTTTAATTTTAGCTGAGATATCATTGAATAGATATCAGAGTATTCCTAAAGGAGTGCTACTCAACATTGCAAGAATATTTGAAAAATATGATAAAGGTGTGAATATTGAAAATTTTAAATTTATTTATTCTGTAAGTTAATATTATTTTCGTACACTATTTTAATCAAATTAATGTATTTTTTTTTCCGATATATTTATAGAAAATGTACCACACTATATTTGATTCAACTTCTTATGGTTTCTCTTCTACCATAAAAATGTTCATGGTTTTAGATCGATTTATAGACATACGAAATAATGTGTTGTACACAAAACATAAGCTACCATATTCTACTATATACAGAGATATATATTCAACAGATGATAATAATCAATCAACACAAGTAAAGTATATTATTTGTTTATTAATTAAATTTAATACAGTACAGTCATCTTAATTATTATCATTGTAATTCATTAGCTATGTAAATCTGAACATGGTAGTACAAAAACAAAATAATCTTGTGATAATAATTGTGATAATTTTATTTTATATTTTTAATCATCATATAATGAACTATAAAATACTTATACATTAACAGAAACAGGTATTTAGACTAAAAATACATTTTCAAAAATTAACTAATTTAAAAACTATTAATTTTATTTTTTAATTATATCTGGCATTATGTCTGATTATGTTAATGCGTACAACTTGAACATTAAACCAACAATTATTTTGTTATAATTATTTGTATAGTGTTGATAGTAAAATAGTCTACCCAACTTTTTGTAGAGGGTCCTTGACACCTGTTTTATTATTATAGATTTGAGGGTAACATAAGTATAGTTACTATCTTGCTTTCATAAACATACTAGTTTAATTACCCAGCTTCACATGGAACATTCTTGGCTGTAACATAGATTTAATGGATTATTACCTTATATTATTTAAAGCCAAGTTTGGTGTAATGGTTTGTGGTTATAAAACAAATAAAACGAAAGTTGAAATGAATCGGTATATTAGTTTTGTTGATACGCTGAATTACCTCTGAATTATCGTATTTACCGGTTCCAATATATTTTAAAATCTTTTCTTATTACATGTATTGAATATTGGAGAGATCACCATGTCAAATTTTAAGTTGATCAATGAGTGAGTAGTACCTGACATTCGTTGAAAAAATTGTAAGTGTTTAACTCCTTTTGGGTGTTAATGTGGAACCTATGCCTTTTTAAGTATAAATCACCCGAAATAATGGTTGAAATAATAATTTATGTATTGTAATAGGTAAATATTAAATATAGCCATGTCTATCACGCCTTTCTGTACCGTTTACTATATTTAAGCATATACTAATATCCTTACAACGATGTTCAATTTATTTTGGATCATTATTCTTTTTATTTATTAATTTTGTCGAGAAAAGTCTGACAATTCGAGGTTTCAAATAAATGTTATTTATTGAAGTGCATTTGGATTACACAATATTTTTTTGTTTCTTCTTTTGTTGTGAGTACACAAATTAATCAGGTTTTCTGACGCGTGAGCAGGCCACACACAGTTGTCCATGCGAAAAGCATAAATTTTCAAAATTCAGTCCACACACTTGTTTTAATTGTCCTTGTACTTTGTTAATGATCATTGCAAAAGCGAATCGCACTGGAAACTGCAAAAGTTTGAATTCCAATAGGGTTGCCATACGTCCCGGAAAACCGGGTTTGTTACTGGTTTTGGACTTCACGTATCGGTGTCCCGAAAAATGTTTTCGGGACGTCCATATGACCCGGCTTGGATGCTTAGAAGAAATTTAGTATTGTTTAATTTTTAATTTTGACCATTTTATCTCAAAGTACACTTTTAATTGTAATCGATAAACAATATATAATAAAAACATAATTTATTTGTAATTTACTTGTATAAATATATAATATATTTTATTTTACAAAAATTTTTTTAAATATTATATTGGTCCTCTTCAGTGGCGTATACATAACTTTTGTATAGGGGGGAGGATCATTTGCAAACAAATTATTATTTTTTTTTATACGTTTCTAACGCCCTCACACTAAAAACATTATTTTAAAATATTTAAAAAAAGGCCTTGGGGGATCTAACCTCCACATCACCTCTGTATACGTCACTGATCCTCTCAATATATTATTGGTCATATAAAGAGTATATTACTCGATATTGTGTTTATGTTGTCCCGATTTCGCCTTATAAATTTATGGTAACCCTAATTCCAATGTCTTATCTGTTGGAGTCATTGGGAGGCGTGGTAATTGTATATTTTCGCTTTTAAATTTTCCGTTTAAAATGATGGCTTCGATTATGTTGTACATCAACTTTTTTACTGAAAGCCTATCATTATAGCGGGGTGGTGGATTGACGTTTCATAAAAGAATGATGTGAACGTCAATTTTCAGTGTTAGAACGTGCGACGGCATGTCTGATAAATCAAGTGAATTTAAAAATTCAGTTGGATTGTGTAGTACATCTGTTCTTCAATATACAGAAAAAATCTTGTAAATTAATATATTGTTCAGAGATCAAAAATAAGAGGTGAAAGTCGTTTTTGGAGAAGAAAATAGACGGTCTTGGAAGGTGGTCAAATGCTTTCAGTTGTTTTAGCAACAAACAAACAAAAACTGCTTGTTGGGGCCTTATCAGGTCTACTTCCCTTTACTTTTTTTCGTAACAAATGGTAAACTATGTCCTTCTACAAGGTCCAATCTATCTCTGTACCAAATTTCATCAAAATCGGTTCTGTGGTTTCCAGGGGCACAATTTTAATTAAAAAACTGGGGGTGCTGAAGCCCTTCTATCTTTTTCATGTTCCTTAATGGGTATAAACACCCGCAACCTATACAATTCAACAGTTACTAAAATATTTGGTAAATATTTGAATATTTCTAAATTTAATTTGTTCACTTTGATTTTATATTTTTATTGAGTGTATAACGAATTAACTGTCTGTAAACACAAATGTTTCATCATATGATCACTTTTAGATTCTAAGTGAAGCGAAGGATATTATGGTTTTATAATGTTTGTATTTTATTTTTTTAACACTTTCGGATAGAAATACTGGTCTAAAAGTTTTTTCTAGGAACTTTTTAGATTTTAAATTGGCATGTGGTGGTACTTTAGATAAGTAGTTTTTTTAAATCTTAATAGTTTTTCTAGGCGTGAGGAAAAACTATTCTGAAACGGTAAAAATACGCTGTAAATAAGACTTTCCCTTTCAGATTTTAGTTGTTTAGTCATATTCCATTAGTAATGTGGGTAATAACTTGAAACTTTTATTTTATAGCAAAGATATTTTTTTTCGTATTTAATAAAATTTTCAAAAAGCGCTTTCGATTTAAATATAGAACTTTTAAAATACTTAATTATTTGAAATGTTTATGTAATAAAATTTTTATTTTTGGATATTAAGTAAAAATGTAATACCACCTTACTCATATACGAGTACTTACATATTTAACGATACTGAAAAAATGTTAAAAATCGTTAGTCTCAAATTTATTTCATAAGCATTTAAGTAAATTATTATACCTATGATTTTTACGGATTTTACTGTTTTTACATACATTTTTAACATTAAATGTTTATTAAAAAAATTTGTTCTATCTAATTTGTTTTATCTAATCATAATGAAACTTTGAATATAGATAAATATTTGGTTAAAAAAACCATTTCTCTGTCAAACAATAAAATGTTAAATATGTTGATAAAAAAAAGAACCTACATAATATAATAATAATTATACTCGATAATTAAATACCAATATTAAAATATATTTATAAATGGTTGATTTTTATACTGAACCTTTGCTCAGAACCGTTTTGATAAAGAAATGACTTGTCATTTCTTTAAAACTCGGTATATTTACTACTAGGCTTGTCACTCGCCCCGGTACAACAGCCGATCATTCAGTTTATTCCGGTTAATAGAAGCTGAGATAAAATAACATTTAATATTATATTATTTAATAATAAAACATACAAGTTGAGTAATATTGTACATTATAGTATGGTTATATACAATAATAATGTATTTTTGAATTAGTCAATAAATATTTAAATTACAAAATTATATACTTTTATGTTTTCATATCAAAATAAAAAAAGAGTAATTCAATGTGATGGTTTAGGTTTAGGGATTTCAAAATCTGGCAACCCTAACTATTACTATTATCTAGTTTGAGAACCGAAGAGACGAAGGACAAACTTCCACCACCATTATTTAAATAGTAAATTTATATATGTATACAATAAAAACGGTTTTTTTTATACATAATGAATAATGAGTATTTAAATATAAATTAACTTGCATACATTTGGTAGTGCTAAGCACACCCAAGCCTCCCCCCCAAGTTGCGCCTATGGTAGTTTTGGAGTTCATCGGACACAAACCGTCAAACATGTTGAGTAGTTTAGGAAGGTACAAAGAACACATAAACAAACATTAATTTTTATGTAGCTGAATTACCCGTTATCCCCTGGGGGATATTTTATTATTTTAGATTAGAAAACTGGTACAAATCCCTAACCCTAAAATGTTATGTTAAAAAAAGGATAAAATGTTATGAATCGAATATTATTGATTTTATTGATTTAGGTATACAGTTTAATAATTTACATAATTCTTAATCGGTAATTATTAAAATCAAAATATTAAACAAATCAAATATTTCCTAGGTAACCAAAAAATGAAAAATGTTTACATCCAGTCCAAAACGGTTTCGATCCTTAAATATGTAATTTTCAATAAACCTTTTTTAATTACACAGTGAATGAGTATAGGTTCTTAATCTGGGGTCCATGGATCCTTTGGGGATTCATGGGGTGGCTGTGATGTTTGATTCGATTCGCTACTATCTATCTCTGTGAGTCTGGATTTTCTACAATGGTCACAATAAAAACTAAAGCAAGAAATCGAATGGACATTAAGGACGATATATGCATTGCTCTATCCGATACGGTCGCAGATTTCAAGGCAATACTGTAATCAAAACAACAGCAAATGTCTCATTAAAACTTGTTTTTAAATAAAAGAAAAGTGATTATTCACAATAATTTAATATAGTATTAAGTCTTAGATTTATCATTAAAGAATAACTGAAATAAAATTTGTATTTATTTATATTTATATATATATGTATTATTTTTTTTAAGGGAGGGTCCATGGCCCAGAAAAGGTTTAGAATCTATGTATTAGAGGAACTACTATTCCAAATTTCAAGTTCGTACATTGCATATTTTTTGAGTTACAGTGATCAGTGACTAAGTGGTATTTGAATTTTATATATATAGATTATTTGATAGTGTGTGTATACAAGCAAGATATAAGAGACTTGATTATTTGGAGATAAATATATAGGATTACCTTGTATAAATAATACACAATTAAATTTATTAAATTAAATATTGATAAAATTAACAATTTAAAAATTTAAACCCATAGTGAATTAATTAATTAGTACATTAGTGATGATAATTATTTTAAGTTATTGCGATTGTGGTATATATATGTTACGAGCAATGTAGAAAATTGGGTATTTTATAAAATACTCAGGCAATATATAGAATACCCTGAATATCCACATTTCCCATAACATATATATTGTTATTTAAAGCTTTATTTGTAAGCTTATCTTAAAATTATATAAATAACTCTGTTGTATTATGTATATTTATGTAAATTATATAACATTTTTTAATAGTATTATCTTTGTAAATTTTTTTTAAAATAACTTGAATCAATCTGTAGAGACCTCACCCCTATAAATGTGACATAAGATTTATTAATACTTTAATCTTTTTATTAATATAATGTATGTATTTACTATATTATAAATAATTTTGTTGAAAAAGAAGAATGCTGGTGTTTCATTAGTTCAATAATGTTTATCTAATAAAAAAATTTTTGTTTTTGTTTTTAGGATGATATTATTCACAATATTTTATCAAATAATAATCAGAAGATTGTATTACATATAGATCAGCAATTATTTCATAAAGAAGATTCTACATCAATGATTTTAGTTGAAGCATATAATCCAAGTTTATTTTTTTTACGATTAGCTTATAAAGATGTAGAACTTGAGCGTTTAACAAAACAAATGCAGTAAATATTTTTAAAATAATAATATTTATTTAAATATATTCAATTTAAGTAATATATATACAGTGAGTTCAACGATAAAGGTAGCACAAAATATTTCAAACGCATGACTTTGTATGCAATTCAGGTTTTTGGTAATGCATAAATGATATAAAATTACGTTTATTTTTGATAAATCTTAATTTTTAAAAAAAAAAATTCTGCGCATGCGCAACAAAATGATTTTTTTTTTAAATGGCACCCTCTGTTTTTGAGTTCAAATTTGAATTATGTGAATTTTTTCAAGCAACTTTGACCTTTAAAGTTTTACTCTATCTTCAAAATTGACTTATTGAGAATGAGTTAAATTTTCGATTTATAACATTTGTATATATTGTATTTTTCAATAGTCTACTTAGAATTTTATAAATTCATAAGTAATTTTGTATGAATTTTTCTTAAAAATTAAATGTACATAATGAATAATGAGTATTTATATATAAATTAACTTGCATACATTTGGGGGTGCTAAGCACACCCAAGACTCTCCCAAGTTGCACTTATGGTGGTTTTGGAGTTCATCGGATACAAACCGTCGAACATATTGTGTAGTTTAGAAAGGTACAAAGAACACATAATCAAACATTAATTTTTATGTAGCTGAATTACCCATTCTCTGCTAGGGGATATTTTATTATTTTAGATTAGAAAACTGGCCCAAATCCTTTACACAAAAATATTAGGTTGAAAAAAGCATAAAGTGTTATGAATCGAATATTATTGATTTTATTGATTTATACAATTTAATAATTTACATAATTCTTAATCGATGATTATAAAAATCTACATATTAAACAAATCAAATATTTCCTAGGTAACCAAAAAATGAAAAATGTTTACATCTAGTCTAAAACTGTTTCAATCCTTAAATATGCGATTTTCAATAAACCTTTTCTTATTACACAGTGAATGAGTATAGGATTTTAACCGGGGGTCTGTAGACAGTTACTCGGGGGTCCACGGGGTGGCTGTGATAAGTACAAGTAATTTATATTACTTCTACAAAAATTTTAACTCAAATTTCTTGTAAATGGTATAATTTTGGTTAATTAAAACTAATACATAAACCAACAAACTAAACTACTAATACATATTATATTATTTTAATTCAGTTTTAAAACAAAATTTTGATTTTATTGAACAATTAAATTATGTTCAGGTGAGTTTTGATTAAATTTTACAATTCATCGTATAAATGTAAATTACTTGTACATATGATAGTACACTTAATTTTTAAGAAAAATTCTTACAAAATTACTTATGAATTTATAAAACTCTAAGTAGACTATTGAAAAATACGATAAATACAAATTTTATAAATCGAAAATTTAACTCATTCTCAATAAGTCAATTTTGAACTCAAAAATGGAGGGTGCCATTTAAAAAAACATCAATTTGTTGCGCATGCGCAGAATTTTTTTTTTTTAAAAATTAAGATTTATCAAAAATAAATGTAATTTTATGTCTTTTATGCATTACCAAAAACCTGAATTGCACATGAAGTCATGCGTTTGAAATTTTTCGTGTTACCTTTATCGTTGAACTCACTGTATATATTTTAACTTCATAAAAACAAGCCTATTTATTTATCCTTATGATTAAAAGAAATATTATCTACTCATACTTTTTTTGTTCAATTAAATATTAATATTATACTCTTACTATATAGTATTTTTAATTATAATATAAAATTACTGATGATATATTTTATCTAATATTTTTAAATAAAGTGTGTATTATTTAATTTTTGGACTTTAATAAAATTAAATGGACTCAAATATTATATAAAACTTTTTTACTTAAATTGTAATTTAAATCAAAAATATTGTCGTAAAATATCAAATAGTTTCTATATGAAAATCAGCATATTATATTATATTTTAAAACAAATTTATCCTTGAAATATTAATTTAATGGTTTGCTTTAAACTAATTAATGTTAAATATTATTTTACAGCCAAGAAGGCAAAAAAAACAAATAAATCAGTACCTAGTAATATTAAAACTTATATTCATGTATTATCTTGATCATCAATGTTTTTCTAGATATTTTTATACTGAAAGCAAAAGTGATTATTATATTGTTCAACCAGAACACATTGCCCCAGGTTTGATTTATGTTACATCTTATACTTCATATAAAAATTGTAGTCAATGGCATAGAGTTAAAATTTTAAGAGAAGTTGATTCAAAAACTGTTCAGGTTAGTGTTTCATTAATAAATATTGAATTTCATGCTGCATATTTTATAAATAACATTTTTTAGATAATTCATGTAGACTATGGTACTGTGGATAATATACCAAAGACTGAATTGAGATTCTTGAATGATGTATTTGGTAATTTACCATGTCAGGCAATACATTGCTGTTTAACTGGATATAATGAGCTTGAAACAATTACTCCCGAAGTTACAGAAGCCTTTATAAATTGCATTTCTAATACACAATTTGCAGTTCAAGTCGATAACAATTTTATATTGGTTTGTATAATAATATCGTATAAATATTCAGATTTTAGAATAAAATTGTATTTTGTTTAGAATAAACAATGTCAAATATTACATGTGACTTTGACTAAAAAAAGATCAAAAAATTCAAAATTATTGACAAATATTAATAACGAAATGTAAGTATTTTTATCTTATAGATCTTCTATATATACATTATACATATAACTGAAATGAGGTAAAAATTGAATAAAATCTTGATATATAATGTTTATTGAAAGTCAATCTAGAATAAAAATTATATGTATTTTTTTTTATTATTAATGAAACACAAACATTGTTTTATATATATATAGTAACATTTAAAAAATTCTCTAACAGATGGTCAACTCTTTATTGATCATTAATTTTTATAGATTTCATAGATAGTTATTGAAAAAGTACATTAACACCTTCATTAAATGATTCACCTAGCCTTCTGGTGGGTGTGTCTTTGACACATGCAAGTGCATAGTAACATTGACTACTGTCTCCATAAAATTATCTTTCTCAATTATCAAAGGAAAGGATGTAAGGATATAAAACCATTGAGAACAATACCTTTTATGAATCAAATAGAAATTTGCTAACTTACTACACACACACATATATATATATATATATATGTTACGGGCAAAGTGGAAAATTCGGACAATGTATACAATGCCCGGTCACTGTATCAATGCCTGGGCATTGTATACAATGTCCGAGGTAGGTATATTGGGCAATGTAAATTGTGAATTATTTATACAAAATAATTTGCATAATATATTATGTTTTTATTGAAAATCATTAATATTACATTATTATACATAATTAATAATCATCAATATAACATAATATAATACTTCCCTTCTTTTTACACGATTCACAATTATTTAAGTATAACATTATTACATCTCTAGTTATATTTTTGTACTTTTTATTAATCTCATGTTCCATTCTATTTCTACCTCCATGTCCAATTGAAAAATTAACTTCATGTATGATATCATATAACTGAACATTATGCACATAATATTTTATTTCATTACCTTTAAATACATTTAAAATTTAATTAATTAAAAAAAAAAAATTGTAATACTCTTATATAAATAACCATAGAAACGAGTATAATTAAATTAGTACATAATATCATTGATTAGGTATATATTATAAATATTTAATAATATAATAATATAATAATTATTATTACCTGCAGTTACTGGAACAATTAATTTGTTAATTTCAGATATTTTTATTACATCATATTTCTTCAAGAGTTTATAATCATTTGACTTCAATTTTTGGGAACTATTCTTTATATTAATTATATGTTCAATTAATTTGTCGTATTTTAATTTGGTTAAATACACATTATTCTCATTTTTTTCATTTAACACAATATTCAATTTCGCATTAAATTTTTCCATTTTAAATAAAATGTAGAAAATAAATAAATGTTTGTATAAGCACTGCTTAATATAAACTGAGCGACAGTACACTACAACTTAAGTAAAACTGTACGTACCAAAATTATATGAGATAAGATATTTATCGGTTTCGTTATCGGGATATATAGTGGATTCACAAAATGTCATTAGTGTTTAACCAAAGGATAGACGTAACATATACCTATTTATACTTTATAAGGAAAAAAATAATATTTATATATTATATTATGTTATATTGATGATTATTAATTATGTTTAATAATGTAATATAAATAATTTGCAATAAAAACATAATATATTATGCAGATTATTTTACATTGCCCAATATACCTCGGACATTGTATACATTGTCCGAATTTTCCACTTTGCTCGTAACATATATATATATATATATATCAAAATACAACAAAATATTGAATTTAATTATTATCATATAATTTAACGAAATACGATCAAACTTAATTCTGAGAAATATAGTTATATTTTTATTACGAAGATATTTTTCTTGTCATTAGTTAACCAACTGTAATCATTATTGCGACCTAATATTGAAATAAATTATTTTGAAAATCATTTTTTAAAAAGTGATAGATTAAGTAACCTTCTAATCATAATATAATAAGTGTGGTAGCGTGGCCGAGCGGTCTAAGGCGCTGGTTTAAGGCACCAGTCTCTTCGGAGGCGTGGGTTCGAATCCCACCGCTGCCATAAACAAAATTTTTTTTGGTAAAAATAGAAAATTATTCCCGTAAGATTTCTAAGATAGATATTAAATATTGTTAAGTTGGTTTAAAATGAATTACTATAATAATAGCTCAACAGTCAATATATTTATTATTCCTGTTATTCCTGTTCCGTCTATCATCCTTATATCTGCATTGACTCTATCTTACCATCGTTGTCGAGATCTTCCCCTTGGGCGCTTGTCAGCTGGTTTATTTATCAGTACCTCCCGAATTATGATTTCTTCAAAAACTAGTAGAAAACTTAAAAAAATACAAACATTTAAAACGAATATATTTGAAACTTAATACCTAACATGTCTATTCTTGCTCTATTCGAGGCGATTACAAAATTGACTGTAAATTAGAATAGTTAATTTATTAAAAATCCATTAAATATGCATGTTATATGCACTTATGAACAAATATGCAATAACCCTTGAAATATGCAATATAAAATTTGGTGTGATATGAATTATGAACATTTTAAACCTCCATAAACATGCATATACATATTACAAACATGGAAATGCATATAAATCCGGGCTCTAATAATAAGTATAATAATTTAGTAATTATTTTTGTTTAGTACTATAGGACACCTGAAATGTCAATAAGTAAAACATGTCAATTTTCAAAATTGAACGAAGAAGGGTTTGCGGTGAGTTACTCTAGATTTCCCAGGCAAAACGTTAGCTTTTATCCATTACTTTTCTGAAACTGTTAATTTTCTTATTTCTTTTATTTGTTTTTATTTTGCCGTACATGAATTGTAAGAATTGTCACGTTTTAAAAATTAAATTATTTTCATGATGTTTATACTTAGTATTAAAAATAATAACATGTGTCTTAGAATAATAGTTAAAAAAAATTGTTCATAGTACAATAATACAAATTCCACCACAGAAATCTACTGTTGTATTTTTAAATGTTATAATAATAATTGTAAAAGTTGTTGAAAAAAGAAATTTTAAACAAGTTAATTTTTTTTTGCCTATACTAAAAATTGTTAATAATCATACTTGTAAATATATAATTTACGATTAACATAAATCATATGCTCTGAGAAAAGATGTATTGCTTTATATTTTTGTTGTGATAATTTATTACTATTTTAGGATATTCAAATATTCACTACATGGTATTATTATTATTATTATTATTGTGTAATATAATTTTAAAGAAAAATGTCAAAGTTAGACTTGTTAGACATAAGAATTGAGAATAGTTTTTATTGTTCTAAATATTGATTTTATATTTAATAAACAAATTAATTTTTATTATAATTATAATTACGTTTGTTTATACCGTAACCAGTGTTCGACTTGAGGGGGGACGCAAGAGGACGGAGTACACCAACTAATTTTCAGAAATTTTAGCGTCCCCCTACTATTATTATGTTATAATTATAACGCTTAACAAGTTTCGGGGACGCTTTTTTTTTTAAAGTAAATAGAGTCCCCCTTCTTTAATTTTTCCAAATCGAGCACTGACCGTAACCATATTATTATTATTACTACAATCGTTAAATCGTATATCATGAACTCGGAAAGAGAAAAATGTAACTTATAATAATAATGTGTTTAACAATTTAATTCTATAGTAAGATTTTAAAATAAAAACATTTAAATAACTCTATAAAGCCTATAGTGTTTACGATTTATATGAGTATGTGCCTTGTGCGTAGAGGTCAAGGCCAACGTGGTAGCAAAATACGCAGCTGCCTAGGACGGAAAATGTTGTATGAAAAACATTAAACATGAAATAGGTACGAACAATTTTAATATAATAATAATATCTCGTGTATTGAAGATCCGATTGATACTTCTCTTATGTTCTTCTCTCTACTTCTTTCTCAGTTACTAATAACAGTGGCGGTTTTCCTGTGGAGGCACCGCCTCCCTTGAAAATTTGAAAAGAAAAAAAAAGTTTTTTCATTTGCTTAAGGAGCATATTCACTATCATTTTAACTTAAAAAACTTAGAAAAAACATTCTGTAACTATGTTTAATGCTCTTAGTAAACATGGAAAGTTATTTAAAAAGCATTATAATGAAAATGTGAAACTGAACAGATTATTCATGGAGTAGGTACCTTATTGAAATTATTTTATTATTGGCTAAACAAGAATTAGCACTCCGTGACCATGACGAAAGTAGCAGCACTTTAAATAAAGGGAATTTTAAAGAATTATTCGATATGCTTTTTAGTAGGTGTTTATTAGAAATAAAAAACCACTACAAAAGTATTCAAAATAAGTTTTCTGGTTTATCAAAAACAATTCAGAATGACTTAATTACATGTATTTCTTAATACATATTCAGTTATATCAGTGACTCCCAACCTAGGGGGGCGCGCTCCCCTTGGGGGGCGTATACACATCGCTGGGGAGGCGCAAGCAGTCATCACAAAGTAAAATTTTTATTTATCAAATTTTATTATATTTAAAATGAAGAGAAGAAATGAAAAATTAATAAAGACTGGTTGTCGTTATAGATTATAGGGTCGTTAAAGTCGATAAAGTAATCGATAAAGATTACAAGTGTTTAGCCATAGTGCACCATGCCACATCGTCCGTAAATTAATCAGTACGATAAGAGAAAGCCAGGAGGAAAAACTATTAGATTAGTTTAGATATTAGATCATATACAATGGATAGAATCATCGCATATCACACCTATAGAATGAGTTGAAGTCAACATAACTATAGGACCGGTGACATCTGCGCATGCTTATCAAATGTCAATCTCTTTTTCGGCTTAAAATTGAATTTAGGCATCACTAATTCTAAATTTACGAAACATTGTTATTGATCATCATTTTGAAGTAGCAAATACAATATAATTAATTATATTATTATAATAATGCAATTTGAAACTTAACAAACACTTATACTTTATAGTTAATCGTTATCTTGTTCAATAATCAATTAATTAATATTTGCGCCAAAAATTAATGATAAGATGCCACGCGCATGCGCATATCACTGTGGTCCTACTGTTATGTTGGCTTCACAAATTATTTGTATGACTCCATCCATTGTATATGATCTAAGGTTTAGACGTGATTTAGTTTTATTTTGCAGTTGCTCAGTGCACGTCAGTGTCGTAGTACGTAGGCGTCGTGAGTGTACATATATCAAAGTAATGGCTCCTCCGAAAATAAGAACGTATATCGATGATTATGTGAAATTTGGTTTTACGTTTATTGAAAAAGATGGTGTCCAAAAGCCTCAGTGTGTTATTTGTCACGTTGTATTAAGTAACGATGCCCTCCGACCTAGTCGACTAGAACGACATATAACCACAGCTCATCCGATGCTAAAAGGAAAACCTAGAGTTTTTTTTTGCTAAAAAAAATTCTTTAAGTAAAATGAAAATTGACCACACCGGAGAGTTTTAACAAAATAATGAAAAAAATGTTGAAGCTTCATATCACATCGCCTTCATGGTGGCTCAGCAAAAGAAATCCCATACCTTGGGCGAAACATAAATTAAACCTAGCATACTTAAAGCTGTTGAAATAGTACTTAGTGAAGAAAGCAAAAGGAAAATAGCTCAAATATCTTTTTCAGATAATACAGTGAAACGACGTATAGATGAATTAGCTTTAGACATTAAAAATCAGTTGATTCATAAATTAAAACATTCTTTGCAATCCAATGTGATGAATTAACTGATGTGACTAATTGTTGCCAGCTATTAGTTTACTGCCGTTTTATAAATTAACAGTCCATCGCAGAAGAACTTCTATTTTCCCAGGCTTTAAATTTCACCTCAAAAGGCAGCGACGTTTTGTCTGTCATTGACATATTTTTTGATCAGAATGGTTTGTCTTGGAAAAATGTTGTAGGTGTCTGTACAGATGGTGCTCCTGCAATGCTAGGGTTAAGATCGGGTTTTGTAAGCCTAGTAAAAAATAAAAACCCGTCAATAATCGGTTCTTATTGTTTAATACACCGACAAGCTTTAGCTGCAAAAACGCTACCATCTGAACTTAAAAATGTACTTGAAGTATGTATAAAAGTTGTTAACACCATCAAAAGCAGTGCACTTAACTCGCGTCTTTTTAAGATTCTTTGTTCAGAGCTGTCCGCGGAACATTCTGTTTTATTATTCCATACAGAGGTTCGTTGGTTATCAAAAGGAAATATGTTTGAACGTTTGTACGAATTAAAATCTGAAGTGGAAATTATGCTTTTACAATTAGGAAAAAACAATCTTCGTGAGAATTTTACCGATGAAACCTTCACATTCTACTTTGCGTACCTAGTGGATATTTTTGAAACTATTAATAACCTAAATCTCAAATTACAAGGGAGGAATACGAATATTATAACCGCCAAAAATTCTATAAACTCATTTCTAGAAAAGATACAGCTGTGGAAACGCCGAGTAAACAAAGAGACTCCTAATTTTTCGTCTTTCCGTCGATTGAACGAACTTATCTCTGATGAGGAAGAATCTATTTGTCTTGTTGGATTGAAAAGTATTAACATCTTGACTGTTTGATTGATGAATTCATGCGATATTTTCCGGATTTTTCTAACGAAAGTTGGAAATATCGGTAATAAGTTGTCCATTCAGTTCTAACGTAGACACATTGCCGGATACATTTCAAGAACAGGCAATCGAGCTGAAGAAAGATTCACGCACAAAAATTGATTTTAATTAACAGTGGCAGCTCTTTGAAAGAGTTTTGGGTAAAATATTAACCCATTTATTCTGAAATTTCAAATGAAGCCTTATAAACTCCTTGTACAATTTTCATCGACTTATTTATGTGAATCTGGATTCATCACCTTGGCCATTATAAAAACCAAACATAGAAATCGCTTGGATGTCGAATCTAACTTGAGGTGTTCTTTATCAAACATCGAGCCGAACTTTAAAAAATTGTCCAAAGAAAAGTGTTGTCAGCCTTCACATTAAATATTAATTTTATTATACATTCTATTATTTATATTTTTTACTAATTTATTATAATAATTACTCACGTCAATTTATAATTCCACTATAATACTATATTATTTACAATTATTTATATTTTATAATTACTATCATCAATAAAAAAGTAGTCTTTCCGAATATTATATAGTTTATTTGTAAAATGTAAAGTAAACAAAAAAATTATAATTTTTTCAATTTATAGGTGGGGGGGGGGGCGCGAGATTTTTGAAAATCTACAAAGGGGGCGTAGAATAAATAAGGTTGGGAACCACTGAGTTATATCAAACAAGAAATTAAACAATGCATGTTTTATTCAGTTCAAATAGATTACACTATTGATATAATTCAAAAAACTCTACTAAAAACTGTTCTATCATATTAAGGTTTGTTAATAAAAATTCGGAACTAGTTGAACGTTTTCTTGTTTTCCATAATGTTAGTGATGATCATACAGCTGAAGGATTGTTTAACTTAATAACTTCTGTTTTAAATGAATTTGACATTGGGAAAAAGTTAGTTGGCCAATGTTATGATGGTGCAAGTGTTATGGCAGGAAATTTGACAGAATTACAAACTAAAGTAAAAAATGTTGCACCCAATGCAATATTTACACATTGTTTAGCGCATCGATTAAACTTGGTACTGCAAAATGGCTGTAATATGAATTCAAAATGTCGTATTTTCTTTGCAAATTTAACTGGCATATCAGCTTATCTCCATAGTTCTATCTTGCTCACTAATAGGGTGATCATATTAAAAAAATAAGAAAACGGGACAGCATTTATTCCCCCCCCCTCCCCCCGAAAAAACTCTCATTTATATAATTCACACATATGCACACAAATCTCGAGAGTTAAAGTCCAAATCTCTATCATATAAACAATTATTTTCTTTTTACTTTATCCTTTTTT